GTTTAATAAGGTGAGCTTCAGTGGATGGAGGACAGGAAGGTTGTCCGTGGGTCGCAATGGGTCGGACCCGACTTCGCGACGACGACAATAATTATTTAATATAGAAGTTTTATATTTCTTCTATTTTTCTATCTTGCACGCCGTGTCCTGAGCGCTTGAAGCGATAAGATGGAGCATTAATAATAATAATAATAATAATAGACTCCTGGATGTACTAAGAAGTTTCCCAGCTGAGAAAGGGACTTGCTTTGAAAAACCCCGATAGAAAGTCAGTTTCACAACTAACGACAATAACAATAATTGTTTTCTATGGAAGTTTTATATTTATTCTATTTTTCTATCTTGCACGCCGTGTCCTGAGCGCTTGAAGCGATAGGATGGGGCATCATGCATGTAATAATAATAATAATAATAATAATAATAATAATAATAAATAAAAAGACCTTTTTATTCAAGCGGCATTTTAACCGTTCATATTATTGGAGTTTATCTGGCCAGGGCGGCTTATTTTGTCCTGTATTGTTGTATTGTTAATTTAATATTTATATTTTTAATTTATATTAGAATTATTTTAACTTAGGGATGGAAGCCGCCCCGAGGCTTCGGCGAATGGGGCGGCATAAAAATGTTTTAATAAATAAATAAAAATAAGAAATGACTTCTGGATGTACCGAGAAGTTTCCCAGCTGAGAAAGGGACTTGCTTTGAGAAACCCCGACAGGTCAGTTTTTGTGCGATTCTGGCAACCTGCGGCTGAAACTTCACCTCATCTCACCTGGAGAAAAAAGCTGGGAGAATCGGGAACGATTTCGGGACAGCCCGGCCGTCCCCCGGCGGTTTCGACTCGCACGATCTGGGGTGAATCTGGGTTTTATTTGGATTGGGTTGATTTGACGGGAGGCCACGCGATGGGACGGCATGCAAAAATTCTAAAGAAATAAATATAAATAAATTCACTCCCCAAAGGGGTCCGCCTGGCACCGTCGTTACTGGTTTCTCGGCGCCAGGTAAAGACCTTTTTATTTAAACATCATTTGAATCGTTAAAACATGTGATCTGGCCAGGGCAACTTCTTCTTCCTTCTCTTTCTCCTCCTATATTTTTATTTACTTATTTTATACGGATCATTTTAATTTTATATTTGTAAATCAATGTATTTTTTGTATTTTTGTATTTAATGGTAATTTATTATGTGCTATTGTATTTCAATGTATTTTATCGTGTTGTAAGCCGCCCCGAGGTTTCGGCAAGGGGCGGCATAGAAATGTTATAACAACAACAACAACAACAACTATAAATAAATATAAACATATAAATATAATATAAATAAATAAATATAAACATATAAATATAATATAAATAAATATATATATAAATATAAATAAATATAAATATAAATATAAAGAAAGACAGAAAGAGAAAAATCTACGGATATTTGGGTGGGAAATGGTTCTGCCGTGAGGCGTGGGGGGAGGCGGGGCGAGCGGCCGGCCGAAAATATCCCAAATCACCGGATGGATGGACGGATGGATAAATAGCAGCTTTCCGTGCTGTCGGATGGGAGGAGACGCAACGCATCCGAAGCTGGAAACCGGGGGACTTTCCGGAGCCGTTTCTTGTGGGAAAAGGGAGATATAAGCACAGGAGTGATGCAGCGTGATGCGTTTTTCCGTGCCGGGCCAGGCCCTTTTATATTGTTTTATATTCTATGTTTTATATCATATCTTTGTATTTTAAGGTATATATTTTAAAACATATACCTTTAAAATAACACCTTTAAAATAATTTAAAATTGAATTATTTTCATTTATGGTTGTGAGCCGCCCCGAGGCTTCGGCGAACGGGGCGGCATAAAAATGTTTTAAAAATAAATCAATAAACAATGTTTACCTGCTTATTTTTCGGGTTGGGTGCAAACGGGACGGCATACCAGACCCCCAAATAAAGGAAATAAAAGCGGCAGCCGGGGAAGGAATCACGCTCTTTTGGGGCTGGGGCCGGAGGAGGAGCATGGGCAATGTTGTTCCTTTCCCTCCGGGGCCGACGTTGGGGCGGAAACGGGTGGGATTTGGGGCCGGAGGAGGACGGCTGAGCGAGAGGCAGTGTGGTGCAGTGGTTAGGAGCATGGGCCTCGGACTCGGGCGATCCGGGTTCGAGTCCCCGCTCGGCCATGGGGCCGACGGGGTGACCTTGAGCTAGTCACAGACTCTCGGCCCAGCCTACCTCACAGGGTCGTTGTTGTTGTGGGGAGGAGATGGAGGAGGAGGAGGAGGAGGTCAGCTGCCTCGAGCCCCTTGGAGGAAAGAGGCAGGATATAAAGCGCAATATAAATCTAAATAGATAGACAGATAAATAAATGGGGTGCCGGGAAGACCCCGGAAAAAGGTAGGCTATAAATCGCAATATAAATCTAAATAAATAAATAGATAGATAAAGAAATGGGGTGCCGGGAAGACCCCAGAGAGCCCGGAGGAGAGCAGCCCTTTCGAAGGCCGGATCCTGAAATGAAACCCCGAGACTTCGGCCAGAGGAGGAGGAGGAGGAGGAGGAGGAGGAAGAACGACCCAGTGGGGGAGACGCTGCTGCCGGGAAGGACTGGGGGCGGGAGGGGAGGTGTGGGCCGGGTGGCCGCCCCCTGGGGCGCCGGGGGGGGGCGGCGGAGGGCAGGGGGGCCTGGAGGACGGCCGGCCAGCCGCCCACAGGGTCGCGAGGTCCCAGCAAGAGGATTTCCCCCCCTGCAGCCCCTTCTTCCCCACACGGGAAAGAGGGGGCTTCCACGCTCCGTCCTGGCCCAGCTGCCACAGCCATACAATTGTTATTCTTTTAATTCATTGTGCATTTTATGGTAGGTTGTGAGCCGCCCCAAGGCTTCGGCAAGGGGCGGCATAGAAATGTTTTAATTAATATATATGTATATGTGAATATATATGTGTGTGTGTGTGTGTGTGTGAGAATATATATACACACATATATGTGAATATATATATACACATATATGTGAATATATAATGTGAATATATATATGTGTGTGTGAATATATATATATATGTGAATATATATATATATATGTGTGAATATATATATATATATGTGAATATATATATGTGTGTGTGTGTGTGAATATTCATATACACATATTCGATATATATATATTCATACACAAATTCGATATATATATTCATATACATATTCGATATATATATATATATATATATTCATACACATATTCAATATATATATATATTCATATACATATTCGATATATATTGAACGGGGAAAACCACAGCCCTGACTCCACGCGCTTCTGTCGGCAGGGCGACGTCGCTGCTTTTTAGTCCGCTGCCTTGATTTGCCATCGCTTTCCTCCCCGGGGAGCAAGCGCCTTTTAATTCCCTCGCCCGCGGTCCCCGTCTGCGGCGATCCCGGAGCCCAGGGAAGATAAAACCCGCCACTCCCTCCATTCCTTCCCCACCTATTTGCCGGGAAGGGAGAGGAGAGGACCGTGCGCCGCGAGCTTAAGTTTCCTCAGTGCTTAATTTCTATTTATTTATTAAAACATTTTTATGCCAAGCAACAGGTTCATGCCACGCCAGTCCAACCAAGGATTTCTTTTTTGGGTGCGTTTTTGGCATCGGTCGGATTGATTTCAGCAACCCAAATATTTTCTTCTTGAGACTGCGCCCAAGAGACTCGAAAAAAAAAAAGGACACCGATTTTACACTTTATGTTGTGAGCCGCCCCGAGGCTTCGGCGAATGGGGCGGCATGGAAATGTTTTCTTTTATCTTTATTTTATTGAAACATTTCCATGCCGCCCCTTGCCGAAGCCCCGGGGCGGCTCGCAACATGGAATAAAATACAGAATGAATGAAAACTGTTTTAATTAAAACAATAAAAATTAAAATTGTTTCAATGAATCCGTGATAAATCAATAAATGCCGAGTTTCCGGCCAGCTTTCGCGCTTTCTGCCTTCTCCTTCCTCCTCGCTTTCTGCCCCTAGAGCTTCGTGATATTTCCCCCGGCGATCTTAATTCCGATTTTTGATTCCTCCAGGCTGGCCTTTCGCATGATATGCTCTGCCTATACGTTCAATAGGCGGGGGGACAGTATAGAATATATAGGATTTCGCTTTGATACACAACACCAGTCTACACCACGGCCCAGAAAGCTCCGCGAAGAAGGGAAGAGGAAGGGAGGACACACAACCCCCTGCAGGGAGCACACACAAGCCCCTTTCCCAACATGGCGGCCTACAGGTGCTCCCAGCTCCCAGGGGCCTCCTGGGCACCGGCCAGGGGGATGCTGGGAGCGGAGGAGCAGCCGGAGGGGAGCCTGGCAGGGAGGGTGAGGGAGAAGCGGGGATGCTGCGTGAGGCTGCCGGGGGCCGCGGCCGGTGGAGCTGGGAGCCCCCAACCCCGGCCAAGCCCCTGGCCCAGGACCCATCAGCCACAGGCTGTAGTGGCGGATTCCTGGGATCTCCAAGGGGGAATGCGCGGCGAGGCGCCCCAAGGAGGACTCCTGCCTATCCCCCTCGGCGGCTCTGGGTTCAAGGTCCAGCCAGGAAGTGGTACGGTCCGCCCAGGGAGCTCGGGAAAGGCGGGGATGGAGGGGGGGGTCCCCCAAGACAGCCAGGAGTCCCTGCGGGAAGCAAAGGGGGCTCCACACGGAGGAAACCGAGGAAGGAAACAGGCCCAGACGCGTCGCGAGCCGCGCAAGACACGGAAACGGACGCCAGGACGCGGAAAGGGCCCTTCCAGGAGGGAGGGATCCGCACAGCCTGTGCCAGGGGAAGAGAGGGATGTGCCCCCTGCCGTGGGGAGGAGAGGGACCCACACCCCTCTATGGCCTGGGCAGGGACCCACACCCCCTGCCATGGGGAG